GATTGCCTCTAAGCTTTTAAATTTTTTACCATGTTTTCATATTATTTTATTCAAATATATGCACACACACATGCATATGCATGTAATTATATAAAAAGATCCTCTTTGGAGCCAGCCGATGCTGTCACTGCAGGGGGTGGAGGGGACGTGGCTGAGGCCTTGTGACCCGGACTGCGGCTCATCCCAACTTCAGCTCAGGATGCAAAGAGCCCCTGCTACTGAAAAAGCAGTCCTCGCCTGGGTGACAAAGTAGCCCACACCCAGGGCCCTTCCCTACCCTCTGGAACGTTCTAACACCCTTCAGGTCAGAGGTGCAGTAGTTTGCAGGGAAAGGGTGGAGCTCCCTGGGGAGAGAGAAGTGTGGGGGTGTCTGTCTGCCTGCGGGGGGTGCAAGGCCAGTCTGGTGGGGTGGCAGGTTGGTCTTCGGTACCCTCTACGCCCCCATTCTAAGTTCCTTTCCTCACACCCCATCCCCACCCCAAGACTCAGTGTCTGTCACCTGTTCCTGCATGTCCTGCAGCGTGGTAGCATGTGTACAACTGTCCCTGTGTTTCTGTCTGCCTGTGTGTGTATTCTGTATTTTGATGCTGCAGTTTTGTGTATCTGTGTACAAGATCCAATAAAGCCTGGTGACTGGAGCGCCGGACTGCCCAAGGTCAAACCCCAATGCTGCCGTTCTGCCACTGTCCCGCAGACGTTGGTCCCGCAGACGTTGGTCCCGCCTACCCATGGAAGTAGCGTTGCCAGATTTAGCAAATAAAAATACAGGACACTCAGTTCAACTTTGAATTTTGAAAAGTAAGTTTTTTAACGCAAGAATATCCCATGCAGTATTTGGGATATACTTACACTAGAATATGTTTTCCTTATTTATCTGAAATTCAGATGGAACTGGGTGTCCTGTATTTTACTGGCAACCCTATATGGGAACAATAGGACTCCCCAGCCCCCCTGATGCTGCGCAAAGCCCTGTGATTTGCTTTGGCCGATGGGAGGTGGGTGGAAGTTGCTTACTGGGGATCAGTTCTGAGCTGAGGCTTTGTGTGACTCTGTTTGCCCTCTGGTGCCCCTGCCACCCGCCGTGGGAAGAATGACAGTCTACTGCATCTTCAGCGCAGACCCAGAAGGAGAGATGTGCTGAGCATACCTGAGCCTGACCCACAGCCCAGCTCAGCCCACCTCTAGACCCAGAGTGGGAAAATAAACATGCCATGTCCCTGAGGCTATTTGCTGCCACTTGCATGTTAACTTTATAACCCTGGTCAAGTTACTTAATCTCCCTGTACTTAGTTTCCCTATTTATAACCTACCTGCCAGGGAGGTTGCAAAGATTAAATTAGTTAGCGTAGGAAGGGCTCTGTTAACTGCCAGCTGTTACCACGTTGTGTTTTCTGCGAGCGGATTGGGATGCGTGTCTGCACCCTGGAGCCAAGAGTGGACCGGAAAGTATGGGGTGGGGGGGTGGGGGCCAGCTGGACAAAGACCAGGGAGCAGCTGCCCCCTTTGCTGCTCCCAAAGGCCTTCGTGGAGCCGGGACAGAGGAGGGGGGTCGTCTACTCACCTGCCGGGAGTAGCACCCCATCGGGGGGTGCACGGGCTGCTGATAGGGCATCCTTGCTGCTGCCCGTGGCGGGTACACGCCCTGGGGAGAAAGGGAGAGGCTCAGTGCCGCCAGGCAAGGGGCTTCCTGCGGAGAGCAGCAGGCACTCAGCTCAGCCGGCAGACAGGGCTGAGTCCGTCCCCTCGCACTGCTGGCCAGACCCGTGGCTGCCTGAGGCCGCTGGGATCAAACAGGACAACACAATCAGGCCATTCGGGAAGCCTCGTTAGCAGACTTCACAGCCAGCGGGAGTGTGTAAGGGAAGAGCTTCAGGAGTCTGGCTGCCTCTTGAATCCCAGGTCTGCAGCTCAGTGGCTCTGTGACTCTGGGCAAGTCTCTTCACCTCTCTGAGCTTCTTTGCTCTTGTCTATAAAATGATGTGTGTTCAGGACTGCAACGCCTGTGAAGGTGGCCACGTTATCTTTGTGGCTGTCTACGCACCTTTTCGAAATGCCTGTCCCCAAACTCCATTTCTGCCCTAAGACACGGGATGTGTCCATGTACACCTGCATGTGTATGTGTGTTTGCATCCGTGTTTATTTGAGTACATGTGCATGGGTGTTAGCATCTGTGCCTATGCAGCTGTGTGTTGCTACACACAAATATAAGGCCAGGTGTATAGTTCAGGTTTCTGTTGCTGTGTGTCTACACAGCCATGCATATGCCTGTGTCTATAGCTTATGGTGAGGGTTAGTGTGAGGATAAATGAGTCAATGCGTCTAAAGACCTTAGAATAGTGCCCAGTACATAGTACGTGTTGGGTGTGTTGGGGTGGCCTTGGGGTGTCCATGTGTCCACACATAGACACACATACGCTCGTGCACACACACACACACACGCAGTACTGCTGCTGTGGAAGGGGTCACGGGCTGACCCCTCCAGTCTCAGACTCTGTGTCTACCTGCCCATCCAGAGTCACCCCTTAGCATGTGGCACCACCCAGCCCAGGACATCTTCTCAGAGGATTCCACACCCGAGATGCTGCCTCCATTCTCGGCTCAGCTTGTGCCAACGATAAACGTGTTGATGGCCGGCACTGTACCCTTGAGGATTTCCTCACGGCCTATGGAATCCCTGAGATGGAGTCTGCGGGCAAGTCTCCCAGCTCTCTAGGTCCCGAAGAGCGTACATCCTCTCAGAGCCCCCCCTTGCTTTCTGCTCCCGTGCATGGGATACCCCCACTTCCACCAAAGTGTCGCCTGCTCCCTCTACTCCAAGCCCTGCAATCCGGATGGCCCCTCTCTGTTACTGGTCCCTACAGGCCCAGGCTTGGCTTGAACCTGGATGGGGAAGTCAGACTGATGAGGTTGCCTTGCCTGTTCCCAGCCCTTAGTGTCTCCACGGCCACTGGGCAGGTTGCTAAGCGCCCCTCTTCCGTCTCACCTCCTCTCAACCCCATTAGCACTCTGCCTTCCACAGCCGACCTCCCCGGGCCAAAGAACTGTGGGCCCTATCACCCCCATATCTGCCTGTGCCAGGCAGCCCGGGGGTCTGTGGGAGACAAACAGCTGCCCAGGCCTGCTCGGTCCTGGGGAGCAGATTCAGGAGATGGTGCCACATTCATTAGCACGAGCAACACTGCACGGCTTTAAGGGCATTTCTAGTTGTTAGAATTGCAATTTTGTAAAATCACAAGTAAGGGTAAATAAGCATTCACTCTGTGCTGGAGGCCACAGCCTCTTCCCATACACCCTCCCTCCCTAATTGATAGCAGGGTCCCTTTATGCCAAGCCACCCGGGAGCCTCTGAAGCTCCTCAGGGCTGGGGACATTGTCTTCCACGTCTCTGAGTCCTTCCACCCAGATCTCTGAGTAAATTGAATTTGGAACCTCATCTTTATTCCTCACGCTGAGCAGGGAGGAGACCAGGAGAGACTGTTCCCCATTTCTCCTCTCTGTCCCCTCAAGGTCTGCGGAGCTCCCTGACCCCATTTCCTTGCAAGATCAGGGCTGCATAATAATAAAGACCAACATTTCTATCACAGTTTAAATTTTACAGAGTTCCTTCCCATCTGTGGACTCAATTAATCCTCACAACTGAATCAGCATATGCTGCTGTAATTACTACAAACCCATTTTGCAAAGGAGGCAGCCAGGCTCAGAGCAGTTAACTAACTTGCCCAAGGCCCAGCTTGGAAGCAGCAGAACATTCAAACTCAAGTCTACCGATTTCAGCACCTGCCTTCTTTCTAGGACCTCAGGTCCTGTGATCGGCTGTCTTGAAGCTGGGCAGCACTATGAGACCATGCAAAGCTCGGAGAAGGTAAACTATGTTGTCCTTCCTTACTACCTGGAGGGCCAACGCCACCTACAGCCAACTCCAGTGGGGTCAGTTCCAGGCCTACACTGCCTCGTAGAACCCAGAGGGCCCTACCAGCCATGGTCTCCCCACTGCTTTCTCCTGGAAGCCCGGGTACCCAGTCGGCCCCGTAGGTAAACATCATCATGTCCAAAGACAGAGGACCTTCATGCTCAGGAAATGATGGGCCCAAATCTCACTCACTCCCAAAAGCTGAGCCAGAAGAAATTAACACAGCAAAGAGATGCTATCCCTACTTAATAAAGCAAACCACTGCAAATTAGCTTTACGTGGCGAGCTCTGTAAGTGCATTTTAGAGTGAATCAGTTAACACTAAATAAAATTAGGTGATTGTTTCTCTTTTAGGGTTGGAAGTGCATGCAGCTGGTCTCTGATTTATACTTCAACTTGCATTAGACTCCAAGCTTCTTTCTTAGTTATCTTTTTTGGGGGTGTGGCAGGGGATGAGAGGGTCTTACCATGTTGTCCAAGTTGGATTCGAACTCCTGGGCTCAAGCAATCCTCCTACTCAGCCTCCCCAGTAGCTGGGACTACAGGCGCGTGCCCCCCGCCCCCCAGCGTTAGTCATCTTGGAACCCCCTCACCTAGCACAATGGTCAGACTCTAGTAAGTGTGAAGCAGAGGTTTCTTAAGTTACTTAAATGAATGGTAAATAGAGAAATAGAAATGAGTAAATCCATGAGTGGGCGAATAAATGAACAGTGAATAAGCAGACACAAAAACACAAGGGTAGAAGCACAGCGGCGAAGGAGTCAACGAATCAGCCAATGGGACATTTCTCCCCAGACTACTGTGCATGGATAACATAGCACTAATATAAAACTGATACACTCTAATGTCCCCCTTAGTTCACCCAGGGGCAGAAGGCGTGAGAAAGCGTGGGGAAAGGCTGAGTACTTGTTTTCTTTAGCAAACAAACAAAAGACCTGAACACTAAACAGAGAGAGAGAGAGAGAGAGAGAGAGAGAGACTTTGCTAAAATTCCTTTACGATTAAGGAGCTAAGCGTGGTAAGCCAGCTCAGAGAGTCTATATACGGATTGGAGAGGACCCTCTCTGGACAGGACCTATGCCATAACGCCTTGCTGCTCTGCTGGAGAAAGGAGGACATTCTTAGGGACCCAAGGGCTGGAGAGAGGGGAAGGGACAGAGAGGCATGACAAGCCGAGTGTCGGGAGTTATTTCCTTCTCTACTTCCTCAGTCCAGGCTTTGGCAGCAGATTGCCGGGACCCTGGACGTGCAAGTCTAAGCTCCTGCCTTCCCTGCACAACTGCGCGCCGTGCTGGAGAGCAGCCAGCTAGGGGAACGGAGATGCAGAAATCTTCCACTCTGAACATCTTTACTGGAAAAAAAAAAAACCTGAGCACTACCTAAAGGGACTATTTAAGTTATTGGATTGGACGAAGGTTTAAACCAGAGTGGACATTTATTTAATTTTTCCCTCCTTTGCCCAGTGGGCGGTAGGTCTTAAGGGATATTAAGTTAAATCGACAAAATAAAGAAACTGCATTTTCCCTGCATAAATAAGTTCTGTGAGTAAAATTTCCAGCCCTGCTACAAGTGCTTCACCGTCCCTTTGTGTCTGGCCACTAATTCCCTTTTAGCCATGAGCCCAAGACCAAGAATGTGTGCCAAGCCTTCAGCTGGTACGAGCTCAGACTGCTTGGATGTGGCCATATACAGTCATCCCTTGGTGTCCTCAGAGGGCTGGTTCCAGGCCCCCAGCCCCATCCTGTGGATACCAAAATCCACAGATGCTCAAGGCCCTGATTTAAAATAACGTAGTATTTGCATACAACCCACGCACATCCTTCCTCCTGTACACTTTACATCATCTCTGGATTACTTGTAATACCTAATGCAATGGAAATGCCATATAAACAGTTGTTATACTGCATTGTTTTTGTATTTGTATAATTTTTTATTGTTCCATTGTTATTTTTAAGTTTTTAAAAACATTTTTGATCCAAGGTGGGTTAGATTCACAGATACAGAATCACAGACAGGCAGGGACAACTAATTTGTCATCCAAATCAAGACATTTGAGAGTGAAAAGCAATGCCATTAATAATTATTATGGGGCCAAAGACCTAAACTGAGACTGTCCCAGGTAATCTAGGGATTATGTATGTCATCCAACTTTAAAGGAAGTCACAGGAAGGAGGTGGGAAACAAGGACTGTGCCATCATCCTACCCTGGGAGCCCAAGCCCTTAACCAGCCAAGACTAGCAATGCACCTCTGGAATAAACAGCACGGAGTGAACTGGAATTCAGACGAGGGAGAGGTAGAACCATATATGCATATGTGTGTGTGCACGCGCGCGTGTGCCAAGTGGTAGGTCTGATATGGCCACAGTGAAAAAACTTAACTGACAAGCTACCATGCTGATGGTGCCCACCCACAGTCCCAGTGAAGCCTCTGGAGTACAGGGTGGGCCTTCAAGGGAGTCTAAATGCTCTCTGTGGAACAGGCCCTCTGCAAGCCACACCTCATGCACAAGGGGCCCACTCGCTCACCTGATACTGGGGGAAGTTGGAGGGATTCGGGAACACCGGCGGAGGTGGATAGTTCAGGTTGAGCCAGAGTGGCTGGTTCAGGGTTGCTGAGGTCAAGGCTGTGGCAAAGCGTGGGGTGAAAACGTTCCCTGTGTACTTGAAGTTATTCTTGTCGGCAGCGGTCACAGGTGGGTTAACTGTAAGTCACAGGACAGGTAAAAAGTGGTTCAGCGATTGAGGCAGGGAGAGGCCAGAATGCCTTTAGCGTCACAATTGTCCCAGGGATTCATATTCTCAGAGGTCATGACTTTTAACCTCCGGGGGGGGGGGTTCCTCAAAGTTCTGGCGAATTTCCAAATATAGGAAAATGTGAGTTTACACGTTGCCAATTTGGAAGGGATGAAAATCCCAGCATGGTCTGCCTTGGAGCTTCTCTTTCCATCATTCACTAGCAAAGGAGGTAGTTTAGCAAGGGAATATAATAAACTTGAGTGCTAGGGCTGCATTTCGCCTACTTACAAAACAAAATTCTTTGAAGTGCTTTAGAAAAACCCAGCTTTATATGAACAATCGTTATGCCATTGGAATTCATTCTTATCAAACCATTCCAGCAGCCCCTCCCTAAGGACATATACTTGGCAACACTGAGAACCTTGCACAGGTTGTTGTATCAATAAGGAAATAATTATTTAATATTTTAAAACATTAATTCAGTGTGGAATGACTCAATATTCGTCTAAGTGAATGAGGTAAGTTTGAGTTGTTTCAAGAGATGAATTCCAGTTAATTCTCTTCCCTAAGACATCCTGTTAGAGAATTAGAAATGAATCCTCAGTTTCCCCTTTATTGGTAATCCTCATATTCCCCCTTTTTTAAGGAAAGGAGATTTGACTAAAATAGTTGCAGGGGAGCACGGGAGAGAAAGCAGAGACATAAATAATCTTAAAGTAGGACTAGTCTAAAACATGGATTATTATTTTTTTTTTTTGGCTTGGCCAACTTGAGAGGATATGATATATGCTGGCTCAGGGGTATATTCAAAATTGATCACTAATAATGCTCCTGTGATTCCTGAAAGATAAATGCATTTCTCTAGCAGTTGTATTCCCAGTAAGGGATATAGGGAGAAAGTCATTTTCCCTATTTCATGGGTTTAAAAATGGATACCCAGAGAAAGGCAGTGCCTTGCCCATGGATAAGACAGCCAGAGCCATTCCTGGGACCCAGGAGGGTTTCTGGAACCCCTTCCTCTGTGTTCTCTCCCTGTGTAGGGTTGGCTTACCTTTCAGCTCCGGCCCATCCACTTCTGCTTTGCTGCGAAGCTTCGGCTGCCCGCTTGGATTCTTCGTGGCCCCGAAGAACTCATAGAGCAGGTTCTTCTCGGCCGGCCCTGCTGGCTTCTTGGTCGGCAGGGTCATGGACATGGTGCCCACTGGGTCACTGCAACCCTCCTCACCGCAGGTGTCCTTCCGGCTCTGGGGCCACTGGCTGAGGAAGAGGCTCTCTCGACCCTTGGTCGGCTCCTTGGTGCCAGGATTCCGTTCTACAGCACGAAGGAAACTGAGTCAATGCCTCTAGAAGGCCAAGTGCTAGACACCAGGAGCACCTTGGTGTGGACAAAATGATGAAGCTGCTGTAGCACACACCCGGGGCTCAGACCACTCTGGGGGACTCTCTCAGCCAGATACAACCCTAGTCTCTCCCCGGAGCTGCCCATTCTCATCTGCCCAGCTCATGCATCCATCTAGTCATCCATCCGTCCATCCACCGGTCCATCTGTCCATCTCTTTGACTTCCTTCCTTCCATCCAACCGTTCATTCTTCCTTCCACCCTTCCTTCCTTCCAATCATTCACAGTGCCAGGCTGGGGATACGAGGATGACTTGGGCACGGTTCTTGCCTTCGGTGAGCACATGGCTCCTACAGGACACACGGTCCACGCACCGTGGTCCCTCATCAGGGATTCTACTTCTGTTTCTTTGCTCACAGGTGATTCAGCTCACTCGCCTGTGCCAGGCCCTGACCTGAGTGCTGGGGACACGGTTGTGAGTCAGCGCCAGACTGCCCTGCAGGAGCTCACAACAAAGGAGAGAGAGACATGCTCAGAAATAGCTCCAGGACAAGGCAGATGGGAACCAAGAGCTGACAGAGGGACAGAATGGAAGAAGATGGTGGCTGACAAAACTTCTGTCTGAGAGGGTCCTTCCTTCCAGAAGGAAGTAGCGTTTCAGCAGGACCTTACATCCTGGAGTGCGGGGGAGGGAGGCTCAACAAGCCTGGGTAGCTGTGGGAAAAGGCCTGGAAGCATCAAAGGGACCCTGGACATGGCTGGAGGGCAGAGCAGGGATGGGACTGGCACCAGACCCAGGGCTCTCTCCAAAAACACTGAGTATTCATTCTCCAAATGCAAGGACACTGTCTGGACCATCATGGGGTCCTCCACAGCAGTGGTCTGCACCCACATTTGTTGTTCAGCAATGGGACTTTCTTCAAACTAAACTAAGTATGGAGAGGAAATTATATATAGTTGTTTGGTTTGGTTATTTGTTTTTTTTGTTTGTTTGTTTGTTTTTCAGACAGGGTCTCATTCTGTGGCTGAGGCTGGAGTGCAGTGGTATTATAATACCTCAAACTCCTGGGCCCAAGTGGTCTTCCTACCTCAGCCTCCCAACAGGCATGCGCCACCATATCCAGCTAATTTTTTATTATTTGTTTTGTAGAGACAGGGTCTCACTATGCTGCCCAGGGTGGTCTTGATCTCCTGGCCTCAAGCAATCTTCCCACCTCAGCCTCCAAAAGTGATGGGATTACAGGTGTGAGCCACCACTCCTGGACTAGCTGTTTAGTTTGTTTGTTTGTTTGTTTGTTTGTTTGTTGAGGCATTGCTCTCTGGTTGAAGAAGAGAGTCTTACCCTCCCAGCCCCAGTCACTCCTGCCTCAGCCTGGAGGTCCTTAAAGGTCTCCCTGGGAAACGCGCCCACCTGTCTGATGTCAGCGCACTGTACTAGACACAGGGCAGGCACCTGGCATCTCTCTGGTAGCAGCTGGATCAGAGGACCTGTGCCCTTGTGTTACCTGTCAGGAGTGGACCCATTCCCACCAGCTCTCAGCACCCCTAGCCCAGTGGCTTGGGAGCTGAATCTGCATGGGACTGGCCCTGCCCCCATAGTGCTGTCCCAGCACAGGAAAGACCTGCTCTAGCCTGAGCCAATTTAGGAGATAACGATATTTTTAGGCGATCACATCCCTAGAGTCTCTTCCAAGAGTTTCTCCAGTTGCCGAGTTTAGCCCCCAGCCAGTGTGCTGAGATAACAGCACCCACTAATAATAGCCCTTTCCCCAGCGACCTGCGCACCTCCAGCTCTCGCTCACACCTATATTTGCCTGAAACATCTACAAAGCTCCGTCTTCATGCAGGTACTACACACACACACACACACACACACACACACACACACACAGTCCTTCCTGTCATTCCTCTGACTCACTCACATGCACACAGCTATGCATAGGACGGGCACATGCACGTGCTCAGATGTACCACTCCTAGCAGACACACTCACATCTGCAAAGCTCTCTCAGCACACCTTTGTCCCCACATCTGTACACACGGACGCACACCAACGATGGGGAGGGCGAGTGGGACAGGACCACCTCCAAACCAGCAGCCTGAACCGCCAGGGGGGCATCCATGTGTTCCTCCTGGAGAAGGGTGGGAGGAAGGTCCCCTCAATTTCTCACACCTGCAGCCCCTTGTCCCAAAGTCCCCCTGGCTCCTGGAGGCCTTCCCAGAACCCAGAGTCAAGCTTGCTGTCCACACCTCTCATCCCTGGGCCTTCCCTCAATGCTCCATCACACAGAATGTTCCCTTAGGGCAACCTTGTTCCTATCTTCTCAGGGAGATGGACTTGGGCCGCCTTTGTCCATGCTCATGGCCCGGGGGTCATTTTTCTTTTGTCTGACACGAGTATGATCTACTGTCCTCGTGACTGCTGACTGTGGGCAAATGCCACTGCCATCAGTCTGTCTGCTTGGAATCCTTGGGTCTGAGTGGCTAGGTCAGAACAAAAGGCAGGATCCTGGGGTTAAGGTGGAAGAAACTTGGGAGGTGGCTGGATTTCCTCCTAAATCCCTGGAGCCCCAGGGCACAAATCCTGGGGCCAGCACTCTTGAACTCTTCCTGGATAATTTGCACATCCACCCCTGCCCCAGAGAAAGGACCAGCCCTCGTGGTCAGAACAGGTGCCCCCATTAGACACAAATGACCCTAGCTGCCAATCTACTTCTGTCCTCTCTGGCTTAGAGTCCCTGTGCTGCAGTGTCACCCTGGACCCCGCTGGAGTAAACACTTTTTCAATGTACTGTGAATACCTGGCAGATTCAAAAATTGAGCCAGTGACTGCATGGTTTCTGCCTCTCTCTCTCCAAGCAGGTTGGGATCAGAGGCTCTGGAGCTGCTTACCCAAGCTGTGCCCTGCACAGGGGCAGCCAGCAAAGAAGGCCTGTGGGGGCTGAGAACAGCCTGCACCTGGGGGCTGTGCCCACCAGAGAGGCTGCTTTGTCCTGCTTTGCACAAAGATGCTTTATGTGCATGCTGTGGCCCTGACTGGCTTCCCGGGAAGGACCTCCTCTAGGCAGGCCAGCTCGCTAGCCCCGTTCCAGCCCCACTCACCCGTCACGTTGTGCCCCTCCATGGTGGGGTCAGCCTCGGGCTTGGAGCAGATCTTGGCAAACACTGGGAGCTGCCTCTTCTGAGCAGAGAGCTCAGAGAGCTTGTCAGAGGCCGCAGGAGGCGGCAGGGGCGGCGGCAGTAGGAAGGGGCCCAGCCCCGTGGACTCCTTGGGCCCAGGGCCATTGAACATGCTATTCTGCAGGAAGTCCTTGATGGCTCTTGTCTCCTCCAGCACCATCCTGTTGTCAGGGGCCTTGGATGCTTCCGTGGACTTCAGCGGGAACTGGGCCAGGAGCTTGCTGATCTCCAAGTTGGAGGCCCCCAGGCTGTGGCCCCTGTCTTCTGACCCCTTGGCCCTCTTGACCTTGGCAGCACGCAGGATCCCCGTGACTGTAGACATGGCAGAATCGCAGTCCTGCCGGCTGCCGAGAATAGGCATGGCCACCTTCTGCTCCAGGAGCTTGTCACCAGCACTGAAGGAGGCTCTGGGGCGCTCACTACTGCCTGTCACCAGGGGAGGTGCAAGAATGCAGGGAGCCAGCTTTTTGGTCCCTTCGGGAGAGCGGCCAATAGGCACCTCCAGCTCCCCTGAGCTCTCCTTGACCAGGATGAGGTGCTCTTTGGTGAGGCTCAGGAACTCCTGCTCCACCAGCAGGGAGATCTCATCTTTGCCACTGCAGAGCTCCAGGGCCCTGCAAACAGGTCGGAGAGACAAGACGGTGTTAGTGCCAGCCTGCCGAGGGGCGGCTCTGCAGCAGGACACAGGCCCCAGGGAAAGGAGATGGATACATGACACGACAAAAACACTCTTCCAGACAAAGGAACACATTGCTTTCTCAAGAGAGAAAATGGATAAACAGCAGACTCCCAAGAGAGCTCCACACCGGTGGGTGCAGTACCAAGATGTTCTGGGGAGGGGAATACCTGGAAATACCTGAGTTCTCTTCCAACAATCTCGCTGAGTAAGCTGGGGCAAGTCCCAGCTTCCCTGAGCCTTAATTTTGGTCCGCCTTTCCCATTTATCATGCTCAGGACCTGATTCAGTGACAGACCAGAGAGGTAGCTCAATGGGAAATTCTGCCCAGCACCAAATGGGTCTGGAATGAATCAATAGCTCTAAGCCCAGAATGCACAGCACTCGGGCTGAGTTCTGGGAAGCCCCCAGGAGTCCAGTACAGCCTTCGTCCCCTCGTTGCATAATGATGGAGTGGACAGCCCAAGCTCATAATCTGATTCGGTCACTTCCCATCTGTGTGACCCTAGGCAGTGTCTCCGTACCCCAGTCTCCTCATCCAATTAAGAGGAGTATCATGGAGGTGCAAAGCACTCCGAACTGCATCTGGCAGAGGGTAAGGGCTATCCAAGGGTCAGTCATCATGTCTCCAGGACACATGTAGACCTGGTTGTGTCCCTGGACCCTGGATTCCACACTGTGGTCCCAGGGATACCCATGTCCACCCTGGCTGGCATGGCCTCTAACCAGATGACAGCCTCTGGACTGGGCTTCACTTTGTGGGTTGCTCCCTGCACTGACCCACAAGGGTCCCCCCATACCTGAATGCTGGCCTCTACCTGCCTCAGACCCTGGCCCCACAGCTGGACCTTTCCTGGCTGGCACCTACCTGCTGGCACCTGGCAGTCACCTGGACTCTCGGTCCTGGTTACTGGCTCTCTCCAGTTGGCCCCACCTGCCACAGCAGCAGCCTTGGCAAGGGGTACCCCCCTGGTGCTCCCAGGAGGACCAGGGCCATGGCCTCAGAGCCGTCTACAACCCCTTCTCGATGGACTCCTACGAGGAGGGATGGATGAGGTGGCCTGCACCGAGCATTCTGGAAACCGCCCAGCACTCTACCTCAGGGAGCACAGCAGGAGATGATGATGAAAAGGCAGAGGGAAAAATAAGAGCAGAGCTCAGTGGCTGCGACTCAGGCTTTGTAGTGGGGGAGGCCCCGATGTTCCAGCTCTGACTATCCACTCGGAGCACGCAACGCAGGACCAGGCCTTCCTGGTGATGCTCTTTGTGCATGAGCACTCACACACCCACGTGCACATGGGCATACATACACACGTGTGTTTGATGCATACACGGAAATACACATATGTGGATGCAGAACAGAAATAGGCAGGCACACGACTCATGTGCCACCATACACAGAGCCAGGGGAGTAGCCGCTGCATTTGACAATCAGTCAGAACAGGCACAGGCTCCAGTCCTCCAGGCTTCCTGCCGTGCTGGGCATCAACCCATAAGTGGCTGGGTCCTGATGAGGCCCAGGGGTCCTGGGGCAGAGGCTGGGGGCCAGGGTGCTTGGGGAGCTTGGGGGAAGAGCTCTGTACTAAAGATATGGGAATGTGTCAGTATTCCAACAGCCGAGACAACTGCACCTCCTGAACGCCAGCCCTGCATGTCACCTCCCAGGCTTGGAGGCAGGGAGTGATGCCAGGAAAACGCAGACTCCAGCCAAACAGGCCTGAGTTCGAATCCAGGCACTAGAAGCCCAGGGTCCTCCCCTGTAAAGTGAGTCTGACACCTGACAGCACCTGCCCCATGGAAGGGTTGGGGGGGTTTGGGGAAGTAATTTGTGCCTAGCACGGCGCCCGTGCATGGGATACACTCACGAATGTCAGATGTGAGCATCAGCTAGCCTGGCTGGGGCCTGGCCAGCTCCTCGAGGGCCATCAGGGCCACATGCGGCAAGGCCATTTGCTATTCCATTTCTCTTTCCCTCCACTCTTTCTCTACTCCCTCTTCCTGCCCTCTCATCTACTCCCTTCCTTTGCCTCCTTCTTGTGTCTAGACTGACGCCTATAAATAGGCTGCACGCTCAGGGCTGTGCCCACTGGGAACAAGCTGAATAAAGGGGATGCCAATCCATGGTCCCAAGTTTTAGATCTCCCTCCTCTTCTTCCTCTTCATTCTTCCTCAAAGGGAACAGGTGCGTCTCAAGTCTCAGGAATCAGACATGAGAAGGACTACTTTTTGCCTCCCTTCCCACCCGCGCAGCACCTTGCAAAGCAAGCTATATACCAACAGCTCTTCTGAGTTAGAAAGACTCGCTACAATAATGTTAAGTTTTTAAAAAATTGTGATAATGGCATTGCGGTTATACTTCAACAGCAACAAAAAGAGGCCTTATCGCTGAGAGATACATACCGAAGTATTTACAGATAAAATCGTGTCCAGGATTGCCTTTAAACTTAATCCGGCGGAGGGAGAGAAAAGAAAGGAGAGGATGTAATAGATGAAACAAGACTGGCCACATGTCGATCGTTGCTAAAGCCAGGACATGGACACACGGGGCCATTGCACACTCGTCACGCTACTCGTGTCTGTATTTGCTTTCTATTTTTTAAAATAAAAGTGTTACACACACACACACACAACTCACCACTGCATCCTTTAAAATACCAGCTCCAAGGGGCAGTCAAAGTAGCTTCTAAAACAGCAGTCCCCAACCTTTTCGGCACCAGGGACTGGGTTTCATAGAAGACAATTTTTTCACAGAGGTGGGGGTGGGGGTGGAGCTCAGGCGGTGAGCGACAGGGAGGGCTGTCAATGAAGCTTTGCTCGCTGACTCCTGGGGGTCCGGGGTGAGGGTTGAGGGGGGTGGTGACAGCACTGGGCCTCAGCCCCGGGGGTTGGGGATCATAGTTCTAAAAGGACCCACAGGGCCCTGAGGTCCCTGTACCAAAAACCACCCACAATGGTTCCCTCTCAGCACCTGAAAGGACACCCGAATCCCCCCCCACGCCAGCCAGGCTGGGTGTGGCCCCTGCTCTGCCCGTCAGAAGCTTGTGTTCCTCGTCTGCCACGTGGGGATAATACCACCTCTCGGGGTTAGGCTGTGCACGTTCTACAAGTTGTGCAAAACGCTTAGTGCCAGCCTCGCGCATAATGAGCTTCCAGAAATGCTGGCGACACAATGATAATGTTATTATCAGTGGTCAGATCTGAGTGTGCGCCCACACAGGCCCCTGCACAGGACCGCTGCTGGCATCTGGTGCCGTGACGAGCACAGCTTCCCTGTCCCCACCCTGCTACCCTTGTGGTGTTTGAGAAAGCACTCGAGTTCCTCCCAGTCACAGCAGCCTCCTCTCTCTGCACTCCGACCTCACGATGGCTCTCAGGGGACATGGCTTCCAGATCCGACCCCTCCAGGTCATTCTCCTCTGGACTTGCTGCAGGTGCCAACGGGGCTCTTGGAAAGCTGACATTCCCAGAAGGGGCAGGGCTGTGCCAAGAACGGAGGGCCCCACCCTGGCTGTGAGCCCTCCGCGTGCTCCCCAAAGACTGGCCCAGGACCTCTGGCCTTCCCTGCCCAGTCTCTACAGGGCCTATGTCCCTTGCACCTGTCATGAGCACACTACGGGCCAGAGGGGAGGCCAGGCTTCCGTACATGTGCTCACATTTAACCCTCTCCACCCCCCGGGCAACAGGCAGGATCATCCCCGCTTTGCATATGGGAAGAATGACCCCGAAAGGCTAAGGACCTTGTCACAGAGAAAGGGAAGAGGCTGGTGTGGGGACATGGCTGGGTCCAGCTGCCTCCACTGACCCCTCCCCACCCCAGCCTGGGCTTCTTTTCAGGAGATAGTTACCCAGCAAGGTCTCCCCAGCCCCCGCCCCTCGGCTGGGTTTTGCTCCCCAGCCTGAATGCAGTCGGGGATATTGTGGACTCTTCCCATCACTCCAGCCTGCGGAGGATCATCACAGTGAATCTCGAGCCTGTCATCCGTGGCATTAGCTGTCCCTGACAGCTCCGTGTCAGCTGCATGTCTGATGAGCACATCTTCTGAGTCTTCCGCCAATTTACGAATAGAAATGTTGAACGGGAGAGAGTCCGGGGCAGAGCCTTGGGGACGCTGCTGGAGACCCTCCCCCCGGCCTGACAGTAATCCTGGATCAACACTTTAGGGGAATAAATCAACCCGTTCCTTGTCATCTCATCTCCATTCCTCCCGGAGAGCCAAGAGCCGTTATCAGACACCTGGTTGCCATTGAGATTCGCCACATATTTAGAAGTCCCCGGTCCGGGGTCTCCCCCACCTCATCCCCAAGAAAACAAGATCGGCTTATTCTTATCTGTTCTAGAAGACTGCAGGCCGCTCAGAGCTAGGACATTCTCAGAACTCAGATCAAACCAGTCCCCTGCTTAAAACTCTTGTGTGGCTTCTCATTACACACAGGATAAAATCCAGGCTCCTCTGTGATCCTCAGGGCAAGGCACAAATTGGCCACACTCCTCCTTCCAGCCACACTGGGCTTCTACCTACTCCTTGAAATGCCAGGTTCACTCCGGCCCCAGGGCCTTTGCACTTGTCCCACAGATTGTCCCTTGACTGGCTCCTCATCACGCAGGCTTCAGTGGGAGCGTCACCTAAGTTGTGCAGAGTGGCCTTTCCTGCTCATTTTTTAAAAGAGCCCCCCCCCCACTAGACACTTTCTGCTCCATCAATCTGTTCATTTTCTTTTAGCATTTATTACTATTATTTAATATCTTTTTTACATCTTTACTCCCCACAACACCCACTCCACGAGGGCAGGGACTCTGTCTTATCACCACAGAGGCCACCAAACCTAGATCGGTGCTTGGCAGGTAACTCCAGCTTGGGGAGCATTTGTGGAATAAATGAACAAACAAGCTCACTCGCTTTTACCCATGTCCGTCTCTCAGAAGTCCTGAATTGCCCG